GCTTGGCTGGGCGAGCGAGCCGCTCGCCGGCGCCGCGACCGACGCGCTGCTGAGCGAGATGCGTGCTGCCGCGCCACACGACGTCGCTGCTCAACTCGACCGGCTCGCTCCGGCCTTTCGCAGCCTGCTCCGCGCCGGCTCGCGCTACGCGCATCGAGCCTCCGCGCGACGAGAGGCGGTCGGCCCAGTGCTCCTGCTCCGGGCGCGAGAGTCGATCCGCCATCCCATGGGCGTTGCAGCGCCGGGGGGCCTCTTTGCCAGCGCCGTCCGGTGCGCCCTTGCACCGTCGCCATCCTACCAGGCGCAGTGCGGGGCGGGCAGCGCACCGCACGAGGTGGTGGTGGAGGGCTCGCACTTCACCTTTCTCCAGCAACCCGCGCTGGCCGCCTCGGCTGCTCACCATATCGCATCCTTCCTGAACTCGATAGCGGCTCGCGACGACCTGCCCAGCGGTGGCGCAGACGGCGGCCCTGCGCCGATCGTGGATAGCCAGGCCTCCCTGGGCCACGGGGCGTGTGCTGCTGCGTGTGCTTGAGTTTTGTCGTTTGAGCGATGAACCACCTCTGATTTAGGTCTCTAGTTAAGTTCGGTCTTCTGTCCTCGTGGTCAAGCTTTAGGTCTCTAGTCAAGGTCTTCTAGAGTCAAATGGTCCGTGTTGTGTCGATCTGGATGGAGCTTCAAAAACACACCGCGAAGAATCCGTTGGCCGCCGTTCGCGTTCTTCGTTCCATTTCCATTTTTTTACGCACACACCTGGTATACGTGGTAGTGCTAGAGTGCTAGTGCCAGTGCGCGCAGTCAGAGAATTTTGTAAACAAACAACAAGAAAGAAAACAGACAACCGTTTTCAAACTTTGTTGCAGCGCGAGTTTGGAGCACTTGGAGCACTTGGAAGCAGGGAAGCACTTGGAGTGCAGTTATCAGCCGCAGCCCGCACGCCCAGGACCGGAAGCGCAGTTGGCGATTAAGATCTTGGAGCACTTGGAGTGCAGTCGGCAACCTCACATCCAGGGCCGGGGAGCTAAGAAGCGCACCCAGCGGGCCGGATGATCGGCATCGGGTTGCGGGCAAGAGAGCCCTAGCCCTGGGGGGTGCGCGTTCGCAGGGAAAGGGCCATAAAGTAAACACGGGTCTCCGAGGGTTAGACCCGCGTACCGGGTTTCCCCTTAACTGCAGGACGCCCCCTCTACTCGGAGCTAGTAGACACGACACTGTACACCACGCACGTACACAGGTCCTCACTCAGCATCCCGTCCCAGGGTTCCACCGCCCGCCTTCCCGGGGCTCCGGTTCTCCCTGATTCGCCCTTTTATTCGCCAGCCGAGCGTCGCCTGACGGCCGCTGTAGCCGTTTCTGATGTCTCTTCTTTGGCCGAGGTCTCGCCTCCGCTTCACCTCCGACCGGTACTGCCGCCTCCGAGAGCGTCGACTGCCCTGCTGAAGTTTCCCCGGGCGAGGACGGCGGCATTGGGTCGCGTCGCTCCCCCTCCCAGGGAGGTCGGGCCCGCTCTCCCTGGCCGGCGAGTCGTGCCCGCCCCCGCGGCCTCTCTATCGTTCTCGGCTCGCCCCTCCCCTCCACCGGCTCCTCCTC